AAGAACAGTGTGTTCAGCGTAAGGCTAAAGAATAATGAAAAGGAATATCGTTGCTTGTATTTATTCAATTAGGGTTTCTCTTTTTCATTTTTATTTATTTATTTATTTTGTTTTTATTTTAAGAGAATATCTTACCTGTATGTTAGATTTTTAAATGCAAGGTGGCATTAATTTTTTAATATTTTATATAAAATGTTAAACTATTAAATTTTTTACATAAACTTTTACTTTAAGTGATATAATCTTGACTGTTTCAAAGAATAAACGCTAGGTTAAAAGGTTAAAAAATATTTTAAATAAACATTTAATAATTATTTAAAATTTTTTATTTTTATCCATTGAACTCTTATTAAACGAAATTGTTAAATTATTAAAATTTACTTTTGGTTTAATAAAAAATTTAATTAGAGTGAAATAAATATTTAAAAATTTAATTGAATAAAAATAAATATTTAAAAAATTAATTAATTCAAAATAAAAAATTTAGTACTTATTTAATTGTAATATCATGCTAAAAAATTTAAATAATTATTAAAATTCAAACTTACAAATTGAAAAGTTAATACATTCACTTACAATTAAGCCAAATTATATTTTCATTTTCATTATTCTTAAACATGCACCATTTTTTTTATAAAATTGATAAAAAAAACTAACATTAATTTTAAAAAAGAAATTCCTAAATAAAATAACAATTGAAATTCCTTAATAAATGGTCCTCCCAACCAACTAGAATAAAAGAATATATCAAAGCATTAAGATTGCAAACCAATTATTCTCCAATTAACTTCATTAATTTTTTTTGTCAAATATATGTTTTTTATTAACGAATAAAGAGCATAAAGCAAGACATTATAAATTATAATTAAGTAAAATAAATATTATATTTTTTCTCTTAAATAATTGGTAAGGTGGAATTTTAGAGAAATCCTTAAAGAATTTTAATGAGAAATAAAAAAATTCTATTTTTCACTTTTAAATTTCCAACAAAATTTTTTTTATTCCCAAAAATAACCTTTATTTAATATTGTTGTATCTAGTCATTGACCATAGGTAAATTTTCATGAGTTTTATTTTTTCTTGTTTTTCTCAATGTTGAATTAGTAAAAATCAAATATTTTATTAATAAAATTTAAATTCGATTCATATTATCAATAATTTTTTTAATGAACAATATGTAAATTTAATATAAATTTACTTTAAAATTTACAAGATATTCTAATTAAAATAATTATAATTTTAACAAATATTTTTTTATTTTTTTAAATAATAAATAAATTAAATATGAATAAAAAATAGAATTTAAATCATAAAAAAATTTATTAATATATAAATTGAGTAATAATAATAATAATTTAATTTTTAATACATAATTGTTCAAAAATGGGTTCGAATTCCCCTCCCAAAACCAATATAACTTGGCAATAATGATGGTGCTAAGTAGGGAATAGGCGGTGCGGTCCAACCAGAAGGACAGCTGTTGCTTAGCTAATAATATTTATATATAAAAAATAATAAAGCAAACAACCTACACTGCACCGCAGTTTTTGCCTACCTTGGAAACTTTTTCTTTCTCCTGTCTAAATTTTCCTTTCGTGATGGGTAAGCGCGTTTCACTATTGTTTTTTTTTTTTTTTTTTTTTTTTTAAGTTTTATTTTTATTATATTAATATAATCAATTGAATAATTAATTAATATAATTAAATAATTAAATTTAAATAAAGTAAGACTTACACTTAAAAATTTAAGATTTTGGAATTTCTTTTTTATTTTTCCTTTTAATTGATACATTAATATTTATTTGACTTTATGGATATGAATGAAATAATATATTCAAGATTTTCATCTATTCAAATTGATTTGTTTTTAATTTAGAGTTTCATTCTATTGATTTATAAATTATTCTTAAAGTATGATTTTAAATTTAAAATTAAAATTTAATATTTATAACTTTTTATTATTAAATTATAATTAAAAAATGATCATCTCTAAATTAAAAGAAATCAATCTCTTACAAAAACCCATAATCCTATTTAAAAGAAAATCAGGCCCACTTATCATCATATGAATACTTCTTTTGATTACTACTACTTGTTTCTTGCATTGCCATAATGAATAATGGAGAATTTCAGGCTTTTAACATACTTTTTCTGTGCTCATAACTTGGTCAAGTTATATAATCATGTTTCACATTTAAAGTTAAGGTTGACAACCCAATTCAAGTCCAGCGGGTTCTAATTCGACTTGATCTCGAAGGGTCAATTTTTTTAAATCTAGTTTTGGATTAGATTTGATTTTTAGGCAAACTCGACTTGACCCGATATTATATTAAAAATTATTTTTTTAATTTTTTTAATTTATATATAATTATATAATTATATTTTTAAAAATAATATTTTATTAATTTCGGATCGGGTTGAGTTCGGATATAAAAAATAAAAAAATTTTCGAGTCAATTTTAGGTTTGATGATTATGAAGTCGGGTCGCGTTCAAGACGAACAAAAACTCATCTTGACCCGACTTGTTACCAACCCTATTTAAAGTAACTTTCAAAACCCTAAGTTCATGTTCCCGAATTTTGTTTAATTACATACTAATTTATTTTATTTGTTGATTTTTTTCTTGATATATATATATATATAATTGCTTGGATGTGATTGTAAATTTTTTTTATAAATATAATTCATCAAAGAAAAAAATTTTAAAATATGTAAAATAAGACAACATTTAAATTTTTAATTTAATAGTTAATGCATATCTTTTTATTAAAAAAAA